GTGCTTAATTTCTACCAAAACTCTTCCTAGGTATGAGACCATTCTTAATTCTCTTTCAATCACAACAGTTACAGAAATCACAATTCAATGTAAACAATCCAACTCAAGTATCAACACAACACTAGAGAGGCTCACAAAATACAAACCCTGAACACACTAAGCAACAAAGTATGTTCCACACTTTTCTTAGGTTAAATCCATCATATTTATAACCATAAACTAGACTGGATTTAGGCTTAAAAAATGCAACAATTATGTTACACATAATCTGCAACTGATTCTCCAAAAGAATAGTTTCTTCAATCCAAAATTTCATAAAGTGACTTCACACTTAGAAAATGACATCTTCAGATTCCTACATAATCTTTGATTCCCCAATCTTGAAGCCACATAGGATAAACAAATATTCCTAAAATAATCTCAAATTTGGAAGTAAAATATCATAATCAAAAACTGAAAAGTAACAGACAAAGATGTTGAATCATCATGATAGGACATCGCGTCTGACATTTGAATCTTCAGTTAGTTATTTATGTTAGGACATCTTATCCAACATCTAGCTGTCAAGTTAGTTTTACGAAAATTGATGTCAATCTCAAAAGTTTATACTCATCGTTTTTTTTATCTATAATAGCTTTTTTTTTTGCCAAGTAATGGGTCATTCCATTGTTATATCACTAACATGGTTTATGCCCTAAATATTTAAAGTCTTTTGGGGTTTTTGAGTGGTTGAGATTATTTTGCCCAAGTAAGTTTTATCAGTTGCATTTTACTAGAATGTTTCTCTATCTTCGTCTTCTCTTTCTTTCTTCTCCCCGAACCCTAATATTTCTCATGTTATTTTGATCCACCATATTAATCAAAGTCTTGCAATATGTCCTAATTTTGATCATTCGCCTTCATCTTCTTTGCAAGATACATTGAATTAATGATTGGATGGCATTCTCATGCAGTGGGATTTTTGAAAACTCTTTGGTTCCAAGTTGTATAATTTATTGTTTCATTTGTTTTGTTTCAGAATTATGCACCAGTGTTCCAATCACCTTCTATGGCGAGATTCGTGTTGTTAATAATGACGATCCTTTTGGTTTCCAAGGTAACCTCGCTATTGTGTATTAGATAGCTTTGCATGTTGGTATTTTTTTGGTTTTAATGCTTTATTCCAGGGTTTTTATCGTTTGTTCCATCTTCTTTTGTACCGCTTTCTTTGATTCAATGATTTTTGTTGTTTTTCGTCTTCGTTTGATCATCTAGGTTTTTCATGTTGGTCTTTGGGTTTTCCATGTTGGACTCATTATTGTTTTCGAGGTTGTTTAACTCCTTCTAGATATACATAATCTTTTTACTGGTGTGTTTTGTTTGTGTTTTTTTTAAAAATTAAACATGATTATCTCTCACATTTTACCTAAATTCACTTTATGTTCTCCTTAAAAGGTAAAGGATTATAATCCTTTATATTCATAGGAATCATATTATCAGTAATACTATTTCTACAAATGAATTGCATAAATTGTTTATATTTTTAGAAATATTTTTGAAATAAAAAAACAAGTAAAATAATTAGTTATTGAAAATTGTTTTTTTATTTTTCTATAAAAAAAATTACATGCCTTCTAATCTATACCTATATATAAAGGGAAAACATTATTTTGGTGTAACTTTTTTTCTTCCAAATATATCTTTTTCAATTTTTATTTTAAATCTTAACTTCTCTTTTTAACAAATGGTGGTTATGTGATAGTTTATTATCTTTTATACCATTATCTACTACTATTATTTTACAAATGATAAATAATAAAATGAAAATTAATTAAAATCTATACCTATATATAAAGGGAAAATATGATTTTGGTGTAGCTTTTTTTTCTTTCAAATATATCCTTTTCAGTTTTTATTTTAAATATTAACTTTTCTTTTTAACAAATGGTGATCATGTGATAGTTTATTATCGTTTATACCATTATTTTACAAATAATAAATAATAAAATAAAAATTAATTAAAAATAATAATATAATTTATATTTTACACGCGTGAGTATTATAAAAAGCAGACAGACGGTAACGTGAGTGCCCGTCTGGACGCTAGTATCGTATAAGAGTAAAAGTTTTGAAAATTTTATATCAAACATCATATTGTTATATATTAAATATATGTGCTAATTTTAAAATAAACACATATAATTTCGGCTTATTTTTTAGCAGTAAGAAAATTACTACATTGTAGTCGGAGAAGAATCAACAAAAAATGGTAATAGTTATGTTGAAAATGCCAAATGTCAAAGGCTTCAACATATTAACTATATAAACTAAGATGATTGACTAACTATCAGTTGTGTCAAGGCAAAGGCTGGTTTAGAGGACTTTTAAGAATAGATCTACAAGATTAGGACCACTCTTTTCCAAACATGTTCAGAATCTTGAAAAGGATTTCACAAATAAGATCTTCGACCAGTGTCGAAGTCGACATGTCTACCAAGTGTTAGAGACTTAGGATATTCTTAAGTCCAAAGACTATGTGATACGAAGATGCCTCAGCTTTATGGGAGTTTATCAGAGACTCTCGACAAAGGCAGTTAAGAGGTTCAAAGCAGTTATCAACACAATTATCAGCATGGTGATTAATTTTTTAGGCATTTTTCATCTTTGAAGACCAAGACACGTGGAAGCACGCCAAAGTATGGGAACACACGTATTATAGTACGTGTCGAGCGCTGGAAAAGTAATTGTTGTTGACGGTTAACAATGTAGTATTATATAAACTAACTCTCTTGTATAGAATTAGGGGTCGCAATTTTCATTCAGAAATTTCTATAGAACTCAAAGTATCTGAGTCACAGAGAGAAACGAGTTTGATAAAAATATGTATGAATATGCACACCATTTCTTTTAAGTCTTTTCAATTACAACAGTCTTTTTATAACTTTTCTTGTTGTTTTTGTTTATCATCTTTGTCCAAAGCTCACTGCAACCAACATTTACATTCAATTCGTTAGCATTTAAGCATTAACTTTAAATCACCATTGCTTTTCTCTTTACATTTCTCTCTACACAAAATTGTCCTTGAGATTTTTTGAGTTAATCTCGTAAGTGAACTAAACTTGTGGTTGTTAACTAAATTTACCAGTAGACAAATTGACCTGGCCCGTGGGACCCCTTTCGTGCAAATAATTTTAAACCTTTTTCAGAAAAGTGTTGTGTCGTTTATATTAGTTATTTTGCTCTTTTTTCATGTAATGTCTTCATTTGTTGAGTGTTTAGGCGTCTAAGAAATGGTAAAAAAACCTTCTAGAAATTACTCATCATGCAAAACATCAACCCCATCCCTAGAACAATGCGCAAAACCTCGAAGAATAATCACTCGGGTCGATGGCTAGTAATGCGGGAACTTCAACTTCTATTGGAGGGAATCTTACTATTATATGCCAAATAACAGCGTCGATTGTACCGCCATAAGTGATGGTATCCTTACCATAAGTAATGAGTGTGTCTACTACTCCTAAGGCTACACAAAGTATAATAGGAGACCCACGACCTCATTTCCCTTAAATTTTATGTTATTTCCAAGTGGTATGGAACCCCCTTATAAATACCAACTACAATGATGACAGACCTACAAACTAGTGCATCAACGTATGCAGGTAACAAATGGATGTTGCGTCCCTTATTAATCCATAATTAGCCTCGGGATCAGCTATTAGTAATCATGGTTGAATTGTGCAACCACCAAGAGGATTAGGGTATAACCCTCGTATATGACATCTTTAATACTGAATCTCTGTAATCTGTGAGACAATAAATGGATGAAAGTAATCATGAAATGGTTAACATGCTCACACACCTAATATGCATAGTGCTCAATCCTCTAATTCAGAAAACCGATCGTAGTTATTAGCAATTGACACACCAAAAGGGTGAAATTACTGACCTCTTTGGTGCGTCTCAAACACCTATTCAACAAATGCCTAATAATCAAATACTACAACAAGCGACACCTGACAAACCATCCATATCTAAAATAGTCGAAGGCAACATAAACCAAAATAATCATGAAGTAATGTAACACCCTAAACCCCAAACACATAATTTATAAAAACGTGTTTTAACACAACTATATCCTATAATATAATATTATAGACATCTCCAACCTTTTTGAGATTAAATAAAATATATTATAATTTATAATATTTAAATTATTTTTGTCTCTTTTACATATCATCACGGGCACTAACCGTTTAACTATTTCATTTTATTTTCAAAATCTATTACTCTTTTTCTTTTTATTATTAATCTATCTTCCTAAACTTTTAGAACAATTCTATATCGTTTTAAACTTAAAATTATCATTATTTATAAAAATAAAATATCATAACAAATCTTAAATCTCTTTTTTTTTTAAACTTCACTATTATATATCAATCAGTGACGACCATGCATCCCGCCAAGTCATATTAAAAATTTTAAAATAATTATATGACATGATAGAATGATATATTCCTATTAAATAACAGTGTAAAATAATTTAACAGTGTACACTCTCAATGCATTACAATTAAACTCTTTATTTAAATCTCTTTTTAATAATTTATTTCAAAAAAGCACTTTAGCTATCCCTCTCACTCCGAAAGAAAAAAAAATATACATGAATGGTATATAGTCATACTACTTGATCAAATGTGGAGGAAAGTGGGATAAATAAATGGCCAATACTACCGGAAGAATTCCTCTTTGGATAATAACATTTTGTGTGATCATTATTTAATTAAAATTCATTTACTAGAAACTAATCCAAAGTAGATAGTCATGCTACAATCCTTGGTCAGAAATCAAACTTTAAGGGCTGAATTACAATTTTTTGTTGTTGATCATTTCTGCCAAAAGTTACTTCAAGGTCCAACTATTTGTTTTTAAAACATCATCAGATCGCAAAGACTCCGCATTAGTATTACAAACGTAAACAAACCTTCCAAACATTGACATTAGAAACGTTTTTAACTTCATCTTCATACTTTCCTGATCAGAAGATACAACCTTTGATCAAGTTCAAACTTGTTGAAATGAGAGTGATCTCCCTTCATCATCATCAGAAGTCCACCAAATGAAATCAGTAACTCTCTGCGAAAAATCAAATTAAGAACAAAAACCATAAATACACCACAGCACAGCCTTAAATCATAATGTAAAGATCACGTTCAACTCTACCCGGGAAGTTTCTTGGGAAAAACATCCAGGGATTGACACTCTAGATCTAAATCTCAAGAAAGCAATTATTTTTAACAAGTTAACTGCGCCACTTGAAAACGGCATGCACCACTGAGTACTATTACAAACTACGTGATTAATTCAAGCTGATATTTAAAGTAGGTAAAAGACTTACGCTTTTTCACGCCCAGTACTCTCTGTTACTCTGTAGAGCTTTCCATACATGACATATTCAAAGGTATCAGCCAAAGATTGTCGATTGCCCTAGATAATTATAAGGCAAAGAAAAGAAGCAGATTGCTGTTAGGAAAACTAAGGATTACTGATTTAACATACAACAGTTAAAAGAATGAAACAGCAAGCATAAAAAGAAAAAATGGACAAGGCCAAGATACTACAGCTATAAACGGGAGTTGCAGATCACAGTACTTTTACTGGCGCAGAAGTTATTAACACTACTATTTTAAGACCAGTTGGAATTGTTTTTAATTTATAAATAAAATTATCTCATTCTTAATGATTGTAAAAAGGAAAGATCTTAAGAGCAGTAGAAGATGTAAATGATCAAAAAAGAATGACTATTTTCCTAATTGTTAACTGGAAGATTATGCCTCTTTGGGCCAGGGTTCATATCTCTTTCACCTATCATTGTAAACCATGTCTCTTAAGAGATACAATTTAATGATCCTAGCTTCTTTTATCCTACAATGAAACCTTATTCATATGCCAATACTAATTCACCATCTAAATCATTTAACATGCTAGTTCTTGCTTGATATTATAGACGATGAATGACATAAAGCCAAAAACCCAACATACAGCACGACGTATGACCCCATCATCCTTCACAAATTTTCTATATCAAAAAATCCACCACCAATATCCGCCATGACCAATTTTTGACAACACTTCTTGATCCTTGATCATGGGCAAGGTTGTCAAACTCGAGAGGCGAGGTAAGCTAGTGGAGCCTCTTAAACTCGACTCTTAAACTAGAGAGTTACAGAACGAAGACCCTGGGCTGTTATAGTAGGTTATACATGAGCCATAAAAAATCAGGCTCCATTAGTACCCTATAACTTCTGATGACAAAGGCTATGTTGTGTGCTTGAGGCTATCACTACTTTATGCACTATCCATTAAATTCACATGAAAGATACACAAATACATTGTAGAAAGGTATATAATCTTTTACACCATGGTTCTTCTCTCTCTTGACATCAATCATAATCCTTTTAAGAAAAAGAAAGGTTCCGATAGGTAAGTCCAACAAACTAACTTCATTTGATCAAGAAAAGTTAGACTCTGTCAATGTCAAGCACCAACACAATCACAAACATTGTACACAATACTGACATATATAATAATTTAAGAGCACGGAAGTGATAGAATGTAACCCGACGTAGCAGTGTATCTCAGTGTTGGATTCCGACACGTACCATGCACCAAACACACATTCTTTCAACACGAAAATTTGGTGTAACTACAAAGGTTACCGCTAGTGATTGTCATCTAATCTTCACTCTATCATTTCCCTTCAACATTGTTCTAATAACACTACTAAAAAAATCACTATTAATTATCATTGTACATTTTTAACTCAAATGGTTTCTTATAACAAATACCAAGCTATGTAGCACCGACTCCTCTGAAAAAAGGTGTGTCTGTATCAGTGTCCGAAAACGCACTTGTGATCATATATAATTTACTCATTTTTTCAAATTATTATTCGTGTCGGCTTGTCAGTGTCAATGATTCACATATAACAAGCAATGAAATGAATTACCGGATTATAGTAGCCAGTATCAGGGGTACCATCAGGATTGAGTGTTGAAACAACCTTAAGAAAAAATTTCTGTCCCTCCTTTAACGGATACAGCTCAGAATTGATGTCTAAGTGCATAAACATATCAAACCTTTCACTTCTTGCTTCAATGCGATTAACTAAACCACCATATAAAATAAATCAGAATAAATTCACATTTCGCTAATCAGAGAATTGAAAAAAAAATGATAATAGAAAAGTTTCAGTACCTTTCTCGAACAATTTTTTGTCATCTGGGTTTAATTTCTCAACTCTAAAAATATCTTCAAAGAGCGATTCAACCATTGTAACTCACTGAAAAATCAAAGAAAAGGAGAATACAGTGTTTCCGTTAGATATATGCTGGAAATTGAAATTGAAGATGATGAGAAGAAAGGAAAGTTGAGATTTTTGATTATCGAACCTGTTACCGAGGAGTGTGATGGAGGAGAGAGTGGAGAGTGAAGAAAATTAGGGATTTGAGAATTTAAAGCTTGATCAGATAAACCGGAAAGAGTTCGATAAATGGGTAATCCAACTTGTTTTGATCCATTACAATTGAGAAATATAAGGATCAATTTGCAATTTTTTATAATTTAAAGAGAAATCTTCAAGGCCTAATTTGCAATTTTTTATAATTTTTGGGGGTCATTTTATTTTTTAAGAAATATAGGGATCGACTTCAAATTCTTAATATTAATTGTTATTTGAAATTCTTTAATTTTAATTTGAACAAAATACTTTATAATTTTTTATTTTATAATTTTAACCATTATTTATATCTTTTTCATCTAAATAATGGATTTTGATGGATCATTTTAAATTTTTTCAAAAGTTATTTTTCATCTTTAAATCTCTCATCCGAATATACTCCTGTAAACTTTTGAAATCTCTCATCCGAATATACTCCTGTAAACTTTTGAAATTTCATAAATGTTCTTGAGATTTCATAATTTAAAACATTTCATATTTTATAATTTGAGCATCTCACATGTCTTACTATTATTTATTATTCCCCTTCATTTATGCATTTCCATATTTGAGTAATAAAAATACTCAAAATCCTCTACATTGTCTCATTTTTCATCTAATTTTAATCTAATTCATCAAGTCTTTGAAGTTTTCAACTATTAAACAAGAGGTTAGTTTTTCTAAATTTTAAGTATTTTTGGTTTGTTTTTTCTTTTTTTGTGTTGGTTTTGTTTAAAATATAAAATTCAAGCATGCGCCATATTCATCATTATGCATAACTTTTGATTGGAATCCGAGCATGCACCATTGTGCGATGTTTTTGCATTATATAATCATAGGATGAGTTGTTCTGCATGCCTTCAAATTCTATAATTCAAAATGGTGAAGAGTGTATGCATTATCTATTTTTCTATGTGTTGATTTTTCTGTGTGGCGACTTTTTTTTGTCAAATGTGTTGATTTACTTATGTTTTTGTAAATTTTTCAATAATAAATAGGGATGTTTTCAAAAACTGCTTAAGGGGGAACGAAGTCTCATCGACTTCCTATGTTAGGCATGAACATCAAAAGAAAAATTAAATCAGAGAGTGATAAACACTTTAAGCCACAACTAGAAGATCATGAGGTGTAGGAGGAACATCATCATGAGGAGACAAATCTTAGAGGCCTGTACGACATGTCAAAATCGACAATTTATAATGACCATGCAACCGAACATATTTGGAAGGTACTAGTATGACACGCTTGTCCATTTATTTTTTACAATTGATTTTATTATTTTATATTTTTTCCTATTTTTTTTCAATTCCCTAACCTACCACTTAAAGAAAGAATATAATTCATTTGACTACTCCAAACAAAATATGGCTTAACAATGCTTCTAGTTACATGATAATGCTTCAAGTAACATATTTATGTGATTATTTAATTCATTGTTAAAAATATTATATTTGATGTTGTATACTAGTTAATATGTGAAAACGTGCCACACAAATGCTTATTATTCAGCATTCTTTATTCATAGAATAAGACGAATTTGGTAATTATATTACCTTCTCTCCTCATCATTTGTTTTTAGTTTTTATTTTTAACATAAAAATTATTGTATTTTCTATATTGCCTTTCAAAAAAGAGAAAAATTTAACAGTCCAAATTCAACCTCCACCCTTTCCTCTTAGATTGCATCTCATAATTACAATTGGAATTAGAGTAAGAGTTTGGATAATTGCTCTTAGATCTGGAAAAAAATGGTTTCCACTAAACCATTCATAGGAGAAGATTTTATCATCAAAAGACCACCTAGTTTCAGTGGTGAATGTTACGATTTTTGGAAAACTAGAATGTGGGTGTTCCTTGAGTCACGGGGCGTAGAAGTTTGGAAAAATGTCTAAAATGGTCGCTTCATTCCTAGTATAATTGTTGAGGGTGTAAATCAACCAAAGCTTGGATCTGCATGGAATGAATACGATAACATAACGACTACAAAATTCCCCTAGTTTACGATAACTCATTTGTCGTATTTGACGGTAATGACCATGTGGTCATCTTTGTGAGGGTGGGTGTTAGTTTCATCTTTCTTAGAGAAGGTGATTGTGGCTTCTGGTGCTTTGTTTCTCCTTCGGTCTCGACATCTATGAAGTCTTCTTTACTCAGGATTTGGCAAGCGTACCTTCTACGTACGAAGCTAGTTTCCATGTCCCCATACGAATCCTCATGTTATGGTATTGAGCGTATGACACATAACTTTAATAACCTCATTTTGGGATACCTTTGTTGCTTTGTTGGGTCTGGGGATTCCTACACCATCTTTCCTTACGAGTTATACAAGTATGGAGAATGGAAAGAGTTTCCCTTCACATATTTCTTAAGGCGTCCCTCCTGGATTAGTCTTTCAATTTCCTTTTTGAGTTGGTAACAACATTTAGTGTAATGTCCTTTGACTCTATGCAACTTGAACCATCTTCTCGGTTCATGACCCATTACATTCGCCTTCAGAGCATGCGGCATATGAATGTTGTGTAGGTGAAAAACCTTGCACCATATGTACTCACAACGAGTGTTCAGGGGTGTGAAAGTTCTCCTTCATCTTACCTACCCTCTTGAATGCAATCTTGTCCTTTATGGGAGAGGTATAATTATTCTTCCTCTGGTGGTGTGAACCATCGGTATCGGGAACACGCTCTTTAACATCGTGCATATTCTTTTCAACATTTTTCTTCTCACCCTTTATGTAACATCCTACTTTGGTGACCACTTCTGCCAACGAGAGTCCTGACTTCTAAGGCGAAAGACTCATTAAAGTGTTCTGACTTGAGTCCATTTTGGAACGCCCCCATAAACATTTCTTGGTTTGGTGGGACGACCAAGATGATGGCTCGTTAAATCAGGTGAGGTAGTCCATCAGCAACTCTGACAGACCCTGGTGTATGTTGAACAAATTGGTGGTGGATAATTTTCTGTGACAGTTGCGACAAACTAGTTCAAAAGTTTCTTTACCAGCTCTTGATAGCTGGCCACTGAGGCACAAGGTAGACCCATCATCCATCGCATAGTGGTGTCCCTAAAAGTGTTGGACAACAACTTGCACTTCAAGGACTCATATGCTCATATGATGGCAATTTGTGTGTAGATGGAGGATACATGTGTTGGCTCTAAATTTCGACGCCTGAACTGGATGAAAAGAGAGAAATAGAGTTGCTGAAGAAATCTGCATACTTCGACAGGATCCATATTGTTGTACCCCAAAATTTGCTCAACCTTGTCTTAACTTGGTTTATGTTTCATTTCATTTCATTTTGTTCTAGCATTTGCATTGCATAGCATATTTCATTGAACAGGGGATCAAGAGTTTGTGCATAGCAAGAGAAGTCTTCTCAGAGGGTTGAGTTAAGCAAGGGATGTTACTTAAGCTTGAATGGTCATCAAGGCATCTTGAAGTGGTCAATGGTCTTGTGAAATAATAGATGGATGGGTGTGGGTCAGCTCCTAACTTGGAGGTCAACTGAAGAGCATCAGAAGATTTTGAATGCATGATTATGGGTATGAGATATTGAGAGAGCTCATTGAGTGCTTTGAGTGTCATTTAAAGCTTATTCAAGTTGTTGTATGAAGTGGAACAAGCCCCAAGCAAGAATGTGGCATTTAGGGTTTTCATCTGGTAAATCCTCAATTAGCTGTGAAATTGAAGGAGGTTACTGTGAGGGCAAGCAGTCACAAAACATATATTCTAAAGTTTCGATGATGACAAAGTTCAACCTCGGATCAATAAGGAGCTGTCAATTTCACCCAAAAGACAATTGCAATATTTAACATATCATATCCTTCTTATATTTCTTTAATTCATCATATCATCATTGGAAAAACACGTGATAAATATTCAGTCGTGACAAAATGCACGAAACAACAAATGATGATTTTTTGCAGGCTTTAAAGCTCTGAGTCGACCGTACCAGTCAGCGCACACCAAGTCAATTTTCCATGGGTCAGCGCATGGACACCATGAGTTGACGATCAGTAGGCGCATGAAGTCTTCACAATTCTCACGGGTCAGCGTGCGCCGACCTATGGTCGACGCATACTGTTGAAACTTTAACATTACTGAAATCTTCAGGTCATGCGTCAACGTATGAACCTGTTATGGTTGATTGTTCGCGCGTTGTTAAGTATTTTCTTCACTGTTTGAAATCTTGTTGTGTTAGTTATTTGTCTTACTACTATAAATAGAAGGTTGTTCATTTTTAACAAATAACAATTACATTTTGAGTATATTGTGAAAACAAGAATAGTGAAATAGGTGCTACATTTCTCTTCATCTTCATCCTCAAACAACACACAACACTGCAACTACACACAACCATTTTTGGAGTGCTTTGTGTCTTGTTTAAGGTGATAAGGTTCGAATCCGTTGAGGGAAAGTCCGGTTCGGGTGGAGATTTGTGGCAGATTTTTCTTGAATAAAACCTTGAAGGTTTTGCCCTCCAAGATTCTACAAATTTTGGGGGTTTTTGGTACGGATATTCGCCATCAACATTCAGCGGTGCGAAGGTGATTGAGAAACGTTTTTCATCAATCTAGTAGCAGGGGATGTGAAGTGTTGAAGGGAGTTCCGGGTTCGATTCGTTGGTGTCTAAAGATCAGCCGGGCCGGGGGTTTGAAGAACTGAAAGGCATTCAACAAAGGGGCTGGAATCGGAGGTCAATTCACAACGATCAGAGGTCTTGATTCAACTCGAATCAAGGAGCAAGAAGTGATAGCAACTTCAACATCTATAGGGATTGTTTGTATTATTGCTTATCAACTCTTGTATAAACTACTACAACTTTTCAGGTGATATC